TATTATTATTATAATGAAAAATAATTTAAAAGTTATATATTGTGTTTATAATTATTTATAATATAATTAACTGCCAAAATAAATCCTTCGTTCAAATTAAAAATAGAAAACAAATAAAAAAAACTATATTTTAAAAAAATTTTTTTAAAAATTATTACAAACAAAAAACATCTTGTTTGGTTTGATATTTTTTTTTGATTGCTAAAAATATTTTTTACTCTAAAATTTTTTATTTTTTACAAACATTTTCTTATTTTTTTTGCTATAGTACATTCGGAAATTTAAATTATTGCATATTTCATTTTACTATGGTACATTTCAATTTCTACCGTTTGCTATGTCTGATTTCATTTGTTTCGGAAATTACTATGGGCCATTGTAAAATTTTATTCTGAGTCAATAAGGTTCACTAGTAATATGCACCATTGTAAAATTTAAAATCCATGCAGAATAAAAAATAATAGAAATTTCTCACCGTGTGGAACTTTCCGCTACGTTGGAGCTCAAAAGGCTTGAAAAATTTTATGTTACGGAGTTTTGATCTTTTCAAGCTCCATAATACAACTGTTATACATTTTGAGCTCGAAAACCGACGAGTTTTGTTAAGCTCAATAATGCAATAATTTTCTTTAGGAATTACCTGACGCAAAGTTCTAAAGTTATGCGAAAAATAGTATATTAAGCACCAAGGGAGGAAAGTAGGACATTCTAACCCGCGTGTTAAATTATCTCCCGAACCGAAGGCGAGTACATTTAATTTTTTTCCTTAATATTTACTGTCTTTAGCGTTTTTTTAATCTTTACAAAATTTTTTGTACTTGGTTTTTTTTTCGATTTAATTATTTTTTGTAAAAATTGAACTATCAAGGTTTGTAACAATAGTTGGACGTGTACTTGGCGCGACGATTTACAGTGAAACTGTTTTTTGTGGGATTCAGTTTATTCTCAAATGATTAAAAACTTCTGAAGAAAAAAGTGAGCTGATGAATAATGTTTATCGATAGTTATTGTGTTTCTTATAAAGCGAATTGTTCATTGACGAAACTGGCTTTTTGGGTTGTAATTATGTTTATCAATAAATTAAATGCAAATTATGTTAGGAATAGCTATAAATTAATTTTCTTTATGTTTGTAGAGTCCTTGTTTCTTTTTGACCATTGCAAACAATAACAAAGCATTTTTGCGAAATTTGACGAGAAATTTTAATTTGATAGGAAAACACAACTAACTAGTTTCAATAAGTAATGCAAACTTACTTTATATTCAGTTATACCCCATCCTGAGACCCAGAGTATTTCAGGAATTACATCATTAACTTTAGGCATTTTGGCTGGTCTTATTGTTGAAGAAAATTGAAATTGTGGAGTAACTTTAATGAGAATTACATCATTTCTTGGTATACCTTTACCTTCAAGCCTATTTTTGGGATTTAACCTCGTAACTCTGGATAAATGATGCATGTAACCTTTGTAGTAATATATAGACCCTGCTCGAACATTGTAATAATGCATAATTTTTTCATTTGGATGGCTGAAATCAAAGAGAATTCGAGAGGTTTCTTTAAGTAAGCATCCATCAATTTTACACAATCTATGATACGCATCAGAGTGCTCTACGAAAATTCTTTTCGGCTCCTTTTTGCAACTCTTTTTATTGTTATACTCTTAGGGGCCATTCATTAATTACTTAAGGATATTGAGGGGAAGGGGGGGGGGGTTAAGAAAATATCTACTTGTCCTTATGTTGGGGGTGAGAAGAGTGAAATTGATTTTTACGTAATATTTCGTGAATCAAAATTCAATATTAAAAAAACCTAATTTGATTTTGGATTCCAAATAGTTTTCTTATTTTTAAAGTGTACAGTCAAATTTTTATTTTATTCAAATAATTTTTATTGCTTATTGAAAAAAAAAAATAACTTATTAAAATTTCATATGTCTTTATTGTTATCCATGTTCGGTTCTATAGAAAAAATTATAGTATTTTTACTATTGCAAAAATGCAAAACATTTTTTAATAAAAAACATTATTACTTGTTAAAAAATAAAAATGATGGATCCATGTTGACCTGTTAGTTTTAGTGAAACTGATCCTTTCCTAAAATAACAGTTTATTATTTAGAAGATTAAGATAGAATCTTACGTAAGAAAAGAAGGGGGGGGGGGTTTAAGAAATCTTACGTATACTTACATGGGGGTAAAATCACCAAAATTCTCCTTACGTAATTAATGAATGGCCCCTATATTCCTTCTCGGAAACAAGGTAGTTTCTACACTATTCTACAGATATTTAAATGAAAATTGATTCTGCATGGCAATCTCTAAGAATTGAGTTTATATAACAGAAATTGAAAAAAATATATAAAAAACTAAAACTGTTTTCCGTCAAACAATAGAAAAATGTTTGAGAGCTGGAAACACAACAACTTGAGAAAAAATCCATTATTGACGCTAATTTTTTTTCAATTATTTTTATTTAATAATTTCAGTTTGTCAATAAGAGATTTATTACCTTACATAGCTATCTAACAAAATATCGTTTAATTATAATTAATGCAAAACTGAATTGACACTTATTTTCCTCACAATGTATAAAATAAATATTGTTAATTTTTATTTTTTAGAATGTATGCGCGTTAAAGCAATAGTTGGAGCTTAATTAACTTGTTACGTCGTGGCTAAATTAACGTTTTTTATTTTTTTTGTCTTAAAATAATACGAACTTTTATTAATTTTAAAATATATTTTTTTGGAAGTAAAATTTACAGCAGACACTAATAATGAGAAAACTCATTAAGTGTCTCGTCCGGTCTCGCCAAAAAAATTCCCGTCATTAGGCCATCTTATCTCTAAGGATTAAAAAGACCCTAAATACACAAGTAAATGGGAGTTTTATTGCCCTCTGTATTGACAGCATTTTGAACAGGAACCTTAGAGATTTTTAAACGTTAATAGGATTAAATTTAAGAGAACAATAAATTTAAAACTTTTAAAATAAATAATTTTAAATAACTAAAATTAATAATTAAATTGAACAACAAATTAAGAAATAATATTCACGTAAATAAGAAATATTTAAATAATTAGTAAAAATAAGAATTAAAAAATAAACAATAGGAAATATTTAAATAATTATTTAAAAATTAATAATATACAATTAACAACAATTGTATTAATAATTATGTGCGAAATGAATAACTAAAAGAAATGAATATTATCATTCATAAAACAAACTAAATAAATAAATAAGTTAGTAATAATTATAAATAAAATATAAGACTTAGTTAGAAAAACTATGTGTTTGTGTGCATGTAAATGTGCTTACGCGTATACCAATACATAGATATATATTAGCCATAAGTAAGAGAGAGAGGCACCTCATGCCTCTGGGCCCAAGGGAGGGGTTTCAAGCGAACATCTTTAGAAAACTCGGAAGAGAGGGTAGAATCTAAGGGAAATAGACAGCTAGTTGGATACTGTTTTCCCCCAAATAGTAATTTGGAAACGCCCGAAAATTTGAGTCCCAAAAGAACTTCGCATAAACTCTCTCTCGTCGTCCTGACCCCGAAATGTGCGGATCGCCCGATTAGCTCGTGACCGTGGTCACTCTCACGCAGCTAAATAGTTTATCTTAAATTAAAATCAATGTCTTGAAATAAATAGTTTATTTTAAAGTAAAATCGTAGTAATATTTTAAATAACTTTTGTCTAAACTTCAGTAAAATTAAATAAATAATTAACCTCGTTAAATAATAAAATATTAATTAATCAAAGAACCACGTGTGTCAACATAGCAATAAAGGTATGTGTTTGAACTTATTGTAGTTTCACATGTGTTCGATTCTGAATTATTAATATAAATCTGAAACAATAGAATTTTTGTAAGAATTAAACATTTAACTTTTGTAACCTTTGTAACTAGTGTAACTTTTGTAATTTTCGTAACTTTTGTAATTTTCGTAACTTTTGTAAATTTTGTAACTTATATTAATTTTTAATATATTGAATAACATAAATTTGAAGCGAAATAATTTACTTAAAAACAATAAACCAATATCCTTTCATAATACTTCTGGGTTCCCGATCTAGTGGTTGAAAAATACCAGGATCAAAATAAATTTAATAATTTACGTTCAACGATTTGGACGTAACAAACTGAATGAAAAAAATATGGCAAAATACTGAAAGTAGAACTTGCGTAGATAAATGACAATAATAATTTTTTTTTCTCACTTAACTGTATGAATTAACGTAGTAATTTATTTTTTCTCAAAAATTTAATGTGCATTATGAATCATGCAATATTGAATTTTCCAGACTTTTTTTATAGGATCACTAATTCAAGTATGCGTAAAAATATTTTGATCAGTATCATACAACTTGCATCGCTTATCAATAACATTAATTTTTTTAACCAACTTATTTCTTCTCTTACTGATAAAAGTATAATCGAATGTAATATAAAATTTACATGCAATGTTGAGCAGTCAGTACCCAAGATGCGGACATTATTGTTCCACCACAGATAAAATTACTTCCAAAGTGAATTGATGCCATGAATGGTCGGTGCTGAATATCTAATATTTGCCCATTGATTATTTTAAAACGTGTATTATTCATCAGTCTGCTATTAGTTTTTCCAGTTGTACTGCCTATGAAAAATTAGTTAAATTATAATTTATAAATTTATAAATTAGATCGTAAGAGTAGTATTCCATATGAAAAAAATTTATAAATTTTTTTCATTAAAAACTTATTGATTAAAAATGGGTCCCATCTTTTTCACTTATTGCACTCATCGAAAGAAACCGTACTATCTTTGTCGCACTTGCAACAGCAAAGCTATTGCAGATTCATGAATTGCTCTTAAACAAATGAAAATTCCATAAAAAACGCTCCGATAGAAAATAGATAATTGATCGAGTAACAGAGAGTTTTTTCTGAAATTTTTCTTTTTTTGGGAGGAATTCATGAAGCTGCAGTAGCTGGGATCGGCTCTTAAAAAAAATTATGTTAATTAATACATGATTATTAGATTATTACTTAGTACAAATGTCAAACACAGTAAGATGAACATCTTCTGTCTGGTCAACTAAGACCGGAGTGACACATTTTTTTCTTATCGCTTTCTATATTTTTTCTCAGTATCATATATTGTCAGAGTGAATAATGTCGAAAAAGCAATAAATCCATCATTGAATTTTAATGAGCGCAGACATCAGACGTGATGAGCAATAAAAAGGAAGAGATAAAAATACATAGAACTTGAAAGTGTGCCTTGAAAAAATCTCTAGGTAACTAAATCATCTATTTATCACTTTTATTCGTCATAAAACAGATATACCAACAGATATATCTAAGTATTCATATGTAAAGACTAACATACACTCAATAGATTATGTATTAACCTTCAAAACATTTGACTATTTTTAACTTTCTGCTAAGAAAATCGAAGATTTTCAAAAATCGGTAAGTTATTGGTCTTACCCTGTTTTTCGAAAATCGAGTATTCATCAGACCTCGATGTTTTGAGGTCCTAGGAAGCTTCCCTGAATGTTTTCGCGGTGATGTCCGTGTGTGTGTATGTATGTATGTGTGTGTGTGTTTTTTTTTCCTTAGGGGGCGTCCATAAATTACGTGAGGTGTTTTTTTTAATTTTCTGTCCCTCCCTCCCCCCCTGGTGAGATGTCGTGAGATTTTATTCAATCCCCTCCCCCATCCCCCAATCTCATGTGAGATTTTTCAAAATGTGGGTTTCTTACGTAAACGCGTTGGATTGTTATTGTAAAAAGAAAAAAAAATAAATTTAAACTAAACTTCAATGCACTTATGTTTTTCATACATACTTATAAGTTAATTTATTGTTGACAAATTTTCACATTTCATAATTGAAAAATAAAACAATAATTAAAAAATACTAGCATTCCTGCCATGAGATATAAGAATGTTATAGTTTCGTGATTTAACATTTTTAATTAATTTATTCATTTGCATTAACTGCAAAAACTTTAACATGGTTAAGGTTATATTGTGCAAATGAAAATGTAAACAACCGAAATATAGCGTTGCCAAATCACGGACAGGTTACTAACAGCTGATTTA